TCTCAGCTTTGCATGAAGATGGAATAGAAAGATATGCAGGAGTAAGAGTGGTTCTCTCAAGGTCCATTAGAGTCTGCGTCTGAATTCTATAGCAGATGCCGAAGAGGGTCACATCAGTGTCCTCATGACAGCTACCTCACCTGCCTTGTTCTATCAATTGGTCCATTTCCTTCTAGCAGGTGGGTGAAAAATTCAGTGCTTTGACTTTCAGAAATTCTAAAGATCTCAGTATCTCAGAACCAGTGGACCCTTGTGCCACTGTCCACCTGTGGAGAAACATCCCCAACTGCCTCGGTGCTTACAAGGACACAGTGGTCCACACTGTTTTTGCCTTCACTTGTATGAAAGTTTATGTATTTGTACTTCAAAGTACTACCAAACTTCTACTAATCTCTATCAAATGAAATCATCACATAAATTGAATTCATTCAAAGAAAAATAACTGTTCAGACATCTTTGAATACCATTTAGCTATCATACCCAATGGCTGTGCGTGCAGAGTTGAACTTTTACCTTGCAACTTTTCCCACTTAATTACTTCAAGTTCAAAAATTAGTAGACTCTTTTGCTTGGTGTGTTTGTTATATCACCATGTCAAATGTCACATGTACTTCCTGAGCCCCAATAAGACTCCTCAGAAAAGCGTTGTGTACTTGTCAGCATTGTAGACTCAGTGGAACCCCCAAATGCTTCCACCAGTTGGCCTGAAAATTCCTCTCTTCTCAGCCTCCTCCTTCCAAACACAAAACAGAAAAACAAAAACAAACTTTTCTTGAAGTAACCCCTGTGTGACTTTTTAGGGTCATCTGATTCAGATCCACAAAGACTTGTTCAAGTCTGTTTGCTGAAGTTTGTTTTATTCCCAGCTAGCAGGCTGAACTCTTCACTTGAGCAGCTGCTGGTCTGAAAAATGTGATCTAAAAGATTCTGTACTCCAGCCACTAGCCCATTCAGAGGTAGGGGATGATACTTTAACTGGATGCTGGTCCAAAAGTAGCTGTTAACCTGCACCCCTTATATGCATTTTTACCAGTAGTTATGAAGGGCTTGTTGATGGTGGTATTAGAAAGGGCGAGACACGCTAGTTCTTGTTTGCTATGGGTTGATTCTGAAGGCTCAGATTTCATTTTGATCAGCTAAGGGTTGTCATCACTTACTAAATAGTAAATAATAATAAGACACTGAACTGAAAAAAGGACAGTAGGCTATATAAGAATTGGTAGTTCTTCAATCTCTTTTATCTTTGAAAAGAAGCAAAATTCAGAGAAATGGAATATTTTAAAACTGATCTGATTTTTGTTAGTATGTAAGATGGTTTTTCTTGTAACAAACTCAAAGGAAAATCAGAGATATATTTCTTACATTTTAAATCAACTTTGTATAGCATAAACTTAGTTACATTATGTATTAGCTATTTCTCTTCTTGCTATGCTGTACTATCTAACAGAAGCAACATAAAGAAGTAAAATATTATTTTGGGTCGTAGTTTGAGGATGTGGTTCATGATCTCAGGGAGGGCATGGTGGTGGGATGAGCTCTAGCTATGGCAGCCAGAGCGGGAGGCAGCTGGTCACATTGCATCCAGTCAGGAAGCAGAGAGATGCATGCTGGTGCTCAGGACAGTTTCTCCTCTTTCTTTTTTCACTCAAACTGAGACTCCAGTCCACAGGACGGTACCACTCACATTCTGAATGGCTCTTCCTTCCTCAGTGACACCTCCCTGAAAGGACTCTCGTGGTCACAGTGATGTGACTCCTTCTTGATTTTAAATCCAGTCAAGTTCCTTATGAAGATTAACCACACTATAATAAGAAAATAAAGCTGTATTTTTAGTAATTTTTAGTAGATTTTAAATGTTCTCACCAATAAACAGTAACTGAAGTGATGAATATTTTTATTTTATTAGTTTTATTGTCAGTACTGAGATTAAAGCCAGGGCCTCATGCATGCTAGGCAAGTGCTCTAGCACTTAATTTTCACTAGGAAAATATGATAAAGTTCTTATTTTAAATTTATTACTGTGTATGCAGAGTATGTGAGTGCAGGTACTATGTCATGACATGTGTGGAGGCCAAAGGACAACTTTGTGCATCACAGTCTCTCCTTCCATGTTTATGTGGGTTCTAGAGCTTGAACTCAGGTCCTCAAGCTTGTGTGGCAAGTGTTTTATCCACTGAGACATCTCTCTGAACCACATATTATTAGTTGGCTTTATTTATTCATTTTACAATGTCTACATATAAAATGATCATATTGTATGTCACAAATATGTAACTCATATTTAGAAATTATTACCCAAGGAAGTTGAGAAAAATGAAATAAAGTTTTTAAAATAAAAAAATCAGATTCTATGGTTTTGTCTCCTATCATATTTTTAAAAATTTATATAGTTAAGGTAAATGAAACTCATTTTATTTAGTCAACAGATATGACCAGAATACAATGTATGACAAACATTAAAAATATATTTTAAGTAACAGCAGGAGATATAAATAATATTATTTATTGTACTTGTTTTAAATTTTTGAATAGAGTTTTCTCTTTCATGTCATTAGAAAGTTATACAAAATGTTATTCTGAAACCATGTATGAGTAACTGGATTATAAATTAATGTGGCTAAATATTTTTTTCATATTTCTTAGGAAAATCTGATTTGAACTAGATTTTAAACTCATTTAGAATTAGTCCTAGGGAAGGAGGACAGATGTGATTGAGAAAATAAAAGATGGACTCTTGTTCTATTAGCAGTCTGGAGCAAACCACCATGAGGCTATGATCTTCACTCTTAGGCCATCACTGTGCCCTCCTAGGGTTCTCCTAAAGTGCCTCAAGGTATCCACTGCCTGCCCCACATGTAAGGCTTTGGAAAGAACTCTTGGGATCACAGTGGCTTCTTAGAGACTGGACGCTTTAGCTTACCTACCTGACCTTTACATAGAGGCTATTATAGATCTTTTTATAACAGCCGAGGCCCTATAATGGTCTTTCATGAAACTCCATGCCCACCACACCCCCAAGCTAGTTCAAGAGCTAATTTTAGTGTGTACATAGTGGACACCCAAAAATATCATTAAAATTCATGCTGTTGGCAGAGCTGGGAGAATGACTCAGTTGGAAAGTTCTTGCTGTGCAATGAATGAGGACCTGAGTTCAGATCTCCAGATGCCTTTAGAAACTGAATGCAACAGCTGGCATCTTTAACACCAGTGCTGGGAGGCAGAGACCTGAATCCCTGGGGCTTATTATTCAGCCAGCCTAGCCGAGAGGAAGTCTGATTTCACTGAGAGAATGTATCTTAAAAAGGAAAAAAAAGTGGAAAACAGTAGAGGAAGACATCTGATGTTGACCCCTGACACATGTGTGTTTACCAGCATACACAGAAGCACACATATAGCACAAAAACACATACACAAAATTCATGTCATCAAATGACAAAAATAAGTTGTTTTAAAGGTATTGTGTATATAGCTCACATGTGAACTATATAAATACCAGAGATTGCTGTGGAAATTAAAAGTGAGTTATAGCCATAGTGTAGGATGACATGTTAACAGAACATAAATTAAATTTACTATTAAAGAAAATGTTTCCCCCCAAATGACCAACATTTGAACACAAATACCCAGAAATAATAATAATACAAAATAATCCTTTCTGAACATGTGTGCAGACATTAAGGAGGGAAAATCAGACAGTGCAGTGAACACAAACAATGGCACACTCCTGACTTAACATTTTCTTTTACTTTCTTTTTTTTGGCTGTTATTTCATTATTTTTTTAATTAAGAAAATCTTTTTTCATTTTACACACTAATCAAAGATCCCCTTCTTCCCTCCTCCCACCCCCCAAGTCTCCCCTCCCAACCCATCCCCCACTCTCTCCCACAAGAAGGCAAGGCCTCCCATGTGGAGGCACATTCAGTAGAGGCAATTCCAAACCCTTCCCCATGCCTCAAGGCTGCACGAGGTGTCCCATCATAGGTAGTGGACTCCAAAAAGCCAGCTTACGCACCAGAGATGAATTCTGATCCTACAGCCAGGGGGCTTTCCAACAGATCAAGCTACATAACTGTCTCACCGTGCAAAGGTCCTAGTACAGTCCCATGTAGGCTCCACAGCCATTGATCCAACTTTCATGAGTTCCCTCTAGTTTGGTTTGGTTGTCCCTGCATGTTTCTCTGTCATGATCCTGATGCACTTGCTCATAGAATCCCTCTTCTCTCTCTTTGACTGGACTCCTGGAGCTATGTCTAGTGATTGGCTGTGTATCTCTGCATCTGCTTCTATCAGTCATTGGAGAAAAGCTCTGTGATGACAGTTAGGGTATTCACCGGTCTGATCTCTGGGGCAAGCCAGTTCAGTTCAGGGACCCTCTCCACTATTGCTAGTAGCCCAGCCTGCAGTCATCCTTGGGGATTCCTGACAACTTCTCTAGCACTGGGTTTTTCTCTATCCCCATGATGTCTCTCTCTACCATGGTATCTCTTTCATTGCATTCCTCCTCCCTCCCTGTTCCAGTTCAACCATCCCTTTAAAAGTGGGCTATTTTGCTGGACTCTGTCTTCAGAAGCACTGAATTGTATGTAAAATGTTACCGTGGTACTAATTCTGTTCTAGTCACCTGAACTCACCCCAGGACATCGCTTGTAATGTGTAAAAGAGTCTTCATTAATGCATGCACACACATTTGCTGCTGTTACATGATTTAAAGCATGGGGGTTTTTTGGTTTGTGTTAAATAAAATCCAGAATTTGCTTTGTTGGTCCATATATATCTGTGACTGCTTCCCACCTCATTTGACAGAAATATTATGAAGTCTGTGTTATTTGTGGACACTGTATATTTTTCTCATGGCAAGGTGCCAAGTTTGCCACTTTTTATGTCATGTCTTGGAAAAATTCTTGCCCAAAGCTGGTAGAAGTCTAGTCCTAGTGAACAAAGATTGTGTACATTTGACGGAAAAATAAAGTACTTATATAATTGAATGTGGGAGGAAGAATTAAGGATGAAGGCAAAACCAGAGGTTTTTATTGTAAAAGCAATAGAATTCTGTACAAGCAAGAGATTTAAAATCAGGAGCAGAGAGAACCAAGAGAAGAAAAATCATTGAATGTTCACAAAATTCAGGTCAAATAAAAGTAAATAGTGTGTTTGCAAAATGGGGAAATGGAAGGAAAGCCAGAAAGTAAGCAAACAAACCAAAACCAAGAAAGGCAGAGATAGAAAGGAAGGATTTTACAATTAAGACTTTCCATGTGTTTGCCAGGAGATGGAGCAGGATTTCTGAAGTGACATCCTGATGGCACTCTCTGCTGAGTTGACTCCTCTGGATATTCAGAGAGGACTTGGCTAGAATAGGCAGGCCTCATGGGAAACTCTGATCTTGACACCTCTGTTGTGACTACCTTACCCCACACGTTTCTGTTCCCTCCTCTTTTGATTTACTTCCCCTTTCAAGCTTGGGAGCACTGACCTTTGCAACACTGATAGGCTGAACATCAATAGGAAAGAACTGTTTTCAGGACGATTGAAATTTAAGAATTTTACAGTAAGCTTTGGGATACAGTTTTATAAACAAAGAGAATGACTCAGGTGTTAGACAAAGATTGATCTTTAATTTTACCAAGGTGTATGTGTCTGAATCTGTGCATACTACATGTGTGTGGGTGTCCAGGCCAGAAGAAGGTGTTAGTCCTCCTGCAGCTGGACTTATGGGTGCTGGGATGAGAACGTGGGTCCTCTGGAAAAGCAGCAAGTGCTCTTTCTGGGGACCCATCTCTTCAGCCCCCAATTCAGGATTTTAAACATATTTGTTTTCACTGTTGATTTGGCTCTACGATACTTAGGTTTTCTTAAGGGGGATTGTTTGTTTGCTCTCTGGTTGAGGCTTCTACATGGGCTTCCTTTGTAGTTAACTCAACATGATACACTACATCTCTCAGATCCAACGTAAGATAAGCTTAATTTTTATTTCTAAGACAGACTAAAACACATTACAGGGAATTTCCCAGATAGTTTTCTCTTGGGGTTAAATGATCAACTAATCAAGTATATGCAATTTATAGTGCTGTGCATATGGATATTATATTCATTACTTTTCTTATTGCTGTGATAAAGTACCTGATAAATGCAAATTAAGGGAAGGTTTATTTTGGCGCACAGTTTGATGACACAATCCATGACGGTGGAAAAGGAATGAGGTAACTGGTCACAATGGATCCACAGTCAGCGAAGAGATGAATGCCAGCATTCAGCTTATTCTTTCCTCTTCCCTTTTCATTAACACATGACCTTAGCCTGCAGGATCATGTCCCCTTATATCAGGATCTGTCTTCCCTTGTCAATTAAGTCTTTTTACAAATCCCCTATGGACATGCCCAGAGTTGTGTCTTCTAGATGATTCTAACATCAGTAAAACTGGCAATTAAAGTTAACTACACAACCTCAAATATCATGAAATAAAACAATCTAAATGTTCTGGGCTTTTAAAAAAGAACCCTACTTTCAAGCTAACAAAATGTCCTAGCTTGGGCCTTTGGTTGTAGACAAACAAAATCAATTTGGAGAGGAAAAGGCTTCTTTGCTTTATAGATTACTGTCCATTATCAGGGGAAGCCAAGGCAGAATTCAAGGCCGGAACCTGGAGGTGAGGAGCATGAATAACACAACTACTGACTTGCTTCCAGTGGCTTGCTCAGCTATTTTTCCTCTACAGCCCAAGCCCAACTGCCTGGCGATGGCATCATCCAGAGTGGGATGAGCCTTCCCACATCAACTACTAATTAAGAAAATGCCTCACAGACAGGACCACAGGCCAATCTGATCTGGGCAATTTTAAAGTTGAGTTTCCTTCTTCCCACATGACTCTAATGTGTGTCAAGTTGACAAAATGAACAATTACACAAGATATAAGTATCTTATATGTATATATACTTTCAAACAATAGAAAGACAGTTCTAATTGTTCTCCAAATTTATGAATTATGGAATAGTCTATAATTATTAATTTCCTAGAAGTACAGTAGCATTTTGATTGTACTTTGGAACAATGGGACTAACATACTTGTTTCAATATGTGTGTCATGTTTTATTTCAAAATTATTTTGTCCTTTAATTAATGTATTATGAATGAACTTTTATATGTATGCAGTCATCTATTTTGAAATACAAAATATATATTAGTATCTGTGTCTGCTTCCAACATGGTGGCTTATCATGTGTGTGTGTGTGTGTGTGTGCGTGTGTGTGTGTGTGTGTGTGTGTGTGTGTGTGTGTGTGTGTAAGAGCAAAAGAGAGTGAGGGCAAGAAGGGTGGGGAGAGAGAATCTGAAATCCTTTTGTTGTGCTTGTAAGCAAACAAGAAACTTTCCAGAATTTCTCAGATGCTGGAAAACAAAAAACAACATGAGATTGTCCAGACCAGTACAGAGGGTGTCCTATTACTCACAGCGACTGAAACATCTAGTGGTCTGCATGTGTGCTGTTTCCTTGAGACCCAGTCTGCACGTGGCAATGCAAAAAGTACAAAGCTGACTGGTGTCTGTGTGTGCAGTGAGCCGCATCACAGAGTAGACCGGGTGAGGTAGCCCTAATATTTCTTAACAGGCGCAAGTCAGTTGTCAGACTTCTGCCCTGAAGCTGTTACCTGATTGACTTGTAAACCAATCTGTTCAAAGTTGACTGCTATACAAGGGTTGTTGAAAATGAAGCTGAGAACAAAAGCCACCAAGTGCTGTACAGCAGAGTAATGGTAAGCAATGTGAAAACTTGTTAACAACAGTAACTATTCTCTTGATTAGATTCCTCTTGTTTGCTATTACCATTTCTTTGAGAGTTTTGAACAATGTGTCTAGAAACTTATTTATATCATCATCATCATCATCATCCTGTGGGGTGTGTGTGTGTGTGTGTGTGTGTGTGTGTGTGTGTGTGTGTGTGTGGAGTAGTAGTAGTAGTAGTAGTAGTAGTAGTAGTAGTAGTAGTAGTAGTAGTAGTAGTAGTTTCAGGGACCAGAAGAGGACATCAGATCTCCTGGAGCTGGAGTTAGTGATTGTGAGCCACTCAACACGGGTACAAGGAACCAAACTCTGGTTTTCTGGAGGAGCAGCAAGTGCTCTTAACCATGGACATATCTCTCCAAGACACACACACACACACACACACACACACACACACACACACACACACCCTCTTTTTCTTGAGATGAAGTTTCACTCTATAGCCCAGGCTGGGCTAGAACTCACTATTTAGCACAGACTGCCTCAAACCTATGATAATTCTGTTGCTTCAGCTTTCTAAATGGTGGGATGGCAGGCTGCTAGAGACATGGCTCAGCAGTTAAGAGCACTGGCTGCTCTTCCAGAGGTTCTGAGTTCAATTCCCAGCAACCACGTGGCGGCTCACAAGCATCTATAGTTGTAGCCCCATGGGATCTGATGTCCTCTTATGGTCTGCAGTGTTGTACTTAGTAGGCAGTGAGAATGGACCACAAAATATAAGAAAACCCACTTTAAGAGAGTGAAGGAAAAGGGAGGCGCACAGTCCCGCCTGGAAGAGAAGTGATAGAAGAGAGCATGGTCTGCTTTTAAAGGTAGCTCAGACACACTTCCTCTAACAAGGCCACTGTAACAATACCCATTCCAACAAAGCCACACCTCTTAATGGTGCCACTCCCTATGAGATTATGGGGTCTAATTACATTCAAACTACCAAACACCTCTCTTGGATTGATGTTCAAAGGTGAAGCAGGAAATATGCTTGGGATCATAGAAGTCCTGAGGCACGATGCTAGAATCATGCTATACCTCTGTAATATTCCATAGAGACAGTTCTGAAAAGAAGAATTATCCCATCTACCCTTTGCATCTGGACTTTTCCCGTTCTCTTACTTCTGTAATCTCACTCTTGCTCCCTGGCTTGCTGTGTGGCTGGGTGGCTGGGTGGCTGGGTGGCTGGTCCCTGATGTCCTCCTCCTTCTCTGGCTCCTTCTTCTCCTCCCAGATTTCTCCTTCTATTTTTTCTCTTTGCCTGCCAGCCCTGCCTATCCTTTCTCCTGCCTCACCACTAGCTATTCAGCTCTTTATTAGATCATCAGGTGTTTTAGACATCCACAATAACACGGCTTCACAGAGTTAAACAAATGCAACATTAAAAAAAAGTAACATACCTTAAAATAATATTCCCCACAGAATGTCAACTCCTTTGGGTATATACCATCTAACAGATTCTTTGTTGGGGAGGGAGGATAAGAGATTATTTATTCTAAAGCCAAATATAAATAATCATGTCCCAGGAACACAGATTTTGGTACTTCAAATTTCACGTTCCAACATGGAAACAATTGGAAAATTTTTATAATAACACAACAAAGGCAGTCACAAATCAAGGCACTTTTCAAATACATTAAATAGGTGGATTAAAGCAAATGGGGAAACATGTTATAGGCCTCAAGTGATATCTGACAATAGTTTTAGCCTTTTAGTTAGTTGTAAATCTGGTGATCTCTTGGGCATTCCAAATGGTTTACCTAATGGTCACAAAGCTGTTCAGGCAGGTATAGAGGAAGGGGGCAAATGGCATTAAGGGGACTAAAGATAGTCTGAGATGATGTGTAGTTAGGCCTGGACCTGCAACATCTGAAGCTCTGATGAGTTAGTCAGCCTTGTAGGTGGTTCACTTGCAAGTGCAGCCAGCATCTCCTTGGGAATTTTTGTTCACACTGTACAGCAATCCCACAGATTCCGAACAAGATTTTTTAAAGAGAGTATCTCATCTCCATTTTGTTCCTATTGTCGTGATAAGTTAAGGTCATTTAAAAGTTGCAGTTTTTCAATTTAATTTATGGTATCATTAAATCATAAAGAACAAAAGTCCCCATCAATAAAATGACCAGGAAAATCAGAGAACATTTGTGCTGTGATGCTCAAGTAGTGACTTCAGTGGCTAACTGCTTCTGTGTGTATAGAATGTGGGGAAAAGGATGGAAAAGCACACCACCTGTGCTTTACATTGTCTCCACTAAAATGTCAAAAATGTTGGCATCCTCCAGGAGAAGTTTCCTGTGCTGCCACTTCTTCATCATTTTTAGCACCAATCAGAATCTCCTGCTGATAACCTGCACCCTTAGGATGTGTCCTCTTCCCCTTTAAGATATTCAGTACCCTGGGATGGGTGTGTGTGTGTGTGTGCACATGTGTGTACATGCGTGTATGAGTGTGCCTCTGTGTTTACACAAACACAAAGAGATTAGGACTAAGGAGACTTTGGTTTCAGAACCTATGTAACTTTTCAAAGAGCTGTGAGGGATTCGTAGTTTTTATTATGTTCAGTATCCTAGAATTTTCAATTAAGACTTCCCTCCATTAATCCCATGTACACATGCAAATAGCTTTGCCAACTTCTATAAAGTGAAATATGAACTAGGAAATTTTAAATCATAGACCCAGGCCTCCTCTGACTCCAAATCAAAAGAAAGTGTGTGTTCTGTTGAGTTTCCTTGTCAGGATACAGGGCTTTGTGTTAAAAAACAAAACAAACCAAACATTGACTCACCACTTACCCTGCCATCTCACAACTCTCACTAAACTTCTTGACAGGATTTTAGGTTCTTAAAATATTGGGTCTATTATCTTCTCTCCTATTTCTGCACAAAATTAACCACAGAAAGTAGGGGTGTGCTCTGATATTTCGACCTGATGGGACCGTAAGAAAGTGCAAGAACTTTGACACTGAATTTCCTTCCAGTGATGGCTGTGACTTGGTTTCTAAGTCAACTTGCCACAAATTAGAATTTCCTGAAGAGGAAGAGTCAACTGAGGAATTGCCTTTATTGATGTAGGAAGACCTTCTCCAAATGAGGGTGGCACTTTCTGGAAGCAGTCCAGATGAACAGGGCACAGCAGAGGAAGATTATTCACCTTTTGCCCTGTTGGCCTCCTCTATTATCAGTGAGGTGATCCACCCTACTGCTGCTGCCGCTGCCTCTTTCGCTTCCTTCTGATATTAGAACCAGCATTTCAAGGCTTCCATCATGGACTAAGGACCAGCAACTCTCCAAGAACCTTCCCAGGCTTTGGTATCAAATTGGGACTGCTGAGAAACCCAGCTAACATGTGAGACTCTCAGACTCTCAGACTAACTGTTGTTCTTATTTCAACATAAGGGACTTAAATTATATTCACATATACACACATACATATATATGTTTGTACACACATAAATACATATATTTATATAATGTTCATTCTATCAGTTCCATTCCTTTAGAGAACCCTGACTAATATACTAGCCATTAGAAAGAGAAAGCATACTTTAAAATTATGTTAACAGACATAATTTAACTTTGATAATTATGTTAACAGACTCACTCTAGAGTATCTATTTATCTTTTCTTTCAGAGATAATAATTCAAATTCAAGTGCTATATTTTGCTTCAGTCAAGAAAATATTTCAGAAAATAAGCTAATTTTCCATTCAAGCTCACATTTTTGTTGAAAGACATATTGTGGTTTAAACACATTTATTATAATTGTTATTTGTGTCTTTCTGTGTGTGTACAGTGGTGTGTTTCTGTGTTCGCGTGCACACCACACACACACACACACACACACACACACACACACACACACACACACACACTGGTGTTCTTGGCAGTCAGAGGCCCAATTTGGGGAATTAGTCCTGTTCTTTCACCTTTATGTGGATTCCTTGATTTGAGTGAAATCGGTTCACAGACGTCTGTGGCAAACTCTTCGCTGCTGAGATATCTTACCAGTTCCCTACTGTGTTCTTTGCATCCATCCCATGTAGTGTAGGCTACCCTTTATGCATAGATTTTTGCACAAAATCACATTCATACTACCAAGAAGGCAGAGAAAATTATTGAATGCTTAGGTGTTGATAAAATACCCATTCCGTTATCACATGTCATCTGTGACCATGTTTTCATGAAGCAGAAGAGGTTTGCTGGGTGTGCGGCTGTGGAGCCATGGTTCCTATATGTTACCTAAAGGTGTAACAGTTATTAAACTCATCCAGTATATTACATAAATCTTAGTTTGTTTTAAGGATCACGACCTGGCCACAGCTTGCCCCACCACAAACAGAGTGATCTGCATTTCAGAGGGTTACCTGTGGAAAATGAAGAGTTCGATGATTTTCTTGTGCCTACTCATATTTATGCCTTGTACCTGTTTTATGGAAGTTTTTGAAAATATTAGGAAAAGATCATTTTATTTGAGAAACACTTCCTTTCCCTACTGAAAATCACCACAGTTGGGCTGCAGAGATGGCTCAGAGGTTAAGAGCACTGGCAGAGGTCCTGGGTTCAATTCCCAGTAACCACATGGTGGCTCACAGCCATCTATAAAAATGAAATCTGGTGCCCTCTTCTGGTATTCAGGAATATACGCAGGCAGAACCCTGTATATATAATAAAACAATTTTTTAAAAAGAAAATTACCACAGTTGCTGATTGCATGATGAGAGAGAAACAGCAAGCACCCCGCCACCTCACTTGAAGCTCAGATCACTAGAGTAAAACTTGACTGACGTATGATGAATTAGCTTTCCAGATCCTGCCTGGACTATGAGTGCAACTCTGTCAGAGTTACCAGTGATTCTTTTAATCACTTGTTTCTGGCATTTGAGCACAAAATAGAATCATTCACCCTCAGATTCTTCAGAGTTAAGTATGGCTGTCTCAGCAAGGGTTTCTATCGATGTGATGAAACACCATGACCAAAAGCAACTTGGGGAAGAAAGGGTTTATTCCTCATACATTTTCAGGTAGCAGTCCATCACTGAAGGAAGTCAGGGCAGGAACCTGGATGCAGGAGCTGATGCAGAGGCCATGGAGGGGTGCTGTGTAGTGACTTACTTTATGGCTTGCTCAGCCTGCTTTCATACAGAATCCAGGAACAGGGGTGACCCACTCACAATTGGATGAGCCCTCTCTAATCAATCACTAATTAAGAAAATGTCTTACAGCCGGATCTTATGGAGGCATTTTCTCTATTGGGGTTCCCTGTTTTCGGATGACTTTAGCTTGTGTCAAGTTGACAGAAAACTAGCCAGCACAGTAGCCAACCAGCATCCATATGAATTTTTTTTCCTTCCTGCCTTCCTTCCTTCCTTCCTTCCTTCCTTCCTTCCTTCCTTCCTTCCTTCCTTCCTTCCTTCCTTCCTTCCTTCTTTCCTTGCTTGCATGCTTCCTTTCTCCTTTCCACTCCTGTCTTCCCACATCCTGTGTGTGTGTGTGTGTGTGTGTGTGTGTGTGTGTGTGTGTGTGTGTGTGTGTGTGTGATGCAGAAATCAAATCTTGGGCCCCATATGTTGTAGTCAAGCACAAGATTGAGCTGTATCCTGCATGAAAAACTTTTAAGAACTAGATAAAGATTTGCTGCCGCCATGCTTCCTACTATTGGAGAAGAGTTATCAGGATGAGGCTTTGTCTTCCTGGGTCATAGGTTAACCAAGATGAGGAGAAGACCCTGTTGACCTACATTGCGTGGGTAATGTGCATATAAAACATTCTATTATGCCAATTCACAAATTTATTTTCTTTCTTCCTACTCTATAACCCAATTCATCTCAATTGAAAAAACACATATGCAAAATGCTGAAATTCCATTTCCATTGCCTGTCGCTGCTCCCTCTTTCTCTTTCATTTATGACATCTGTCTGGGCAACACCCAGGAAGACATATTGCCCTCTGTGAATTCATGAGTTTAAGGAATCATCTAGATTTTATCTTTCAAGAAGATGAGCAAGATAGGCTATAAAACACGTTTTTAAAGTGTTCACTAGATGAAGTAGCATGCCCTGAAGAAAACAGACACCACATACCTTCATTTTATTCTCTCCTAAAATACCTCTCAAATTCCTATCAACTCAATGCTTCCGATTTATATGCAGGAACGTGTTCCTGGCAAAATTACAAAATTCAACCCCCATAATTCTTAAAAATTCTACCTCTGGGCAACATATATAATCAACCAAAAGATTAAAACTTGGACTCTTAAAATGTCATTTTTATCTTCAGCATTTGCAAAGCAGTTACCAACTTCTCTTAGATTTAAGACCATCAGAGTCTAATGTTGAGTATACTTGCCAAAGTATTTTGTTGTCAGCTGACAGCATGTTATAAAGCACAGAGTCCAATCCCTGGAGTTATTGGCCAGGGGTTTCCTGGAGATTCCCAAAACAATACATTCTATTGCCACTGCTTTGTGTTGCCCACAAATGCTTGATGATTGAAGACACCATATGTGTTGGTCACAGGATGTGCAGATATGAAGCTGCAACTGACCAGAAAAGCTTCTTCCCTGCTGGCTGCATTCCATATCTTGGAAGGTGCTGTAAAGGAAGGTGAGAGACAAAAGTTAACAGTCTTCCCCAGCTGTTAACCCAGTGAACTGCAGCAACAATCAGCCTGGCAAGCTATGACCACGGGTGCAATGGTGGCCTGATGTCATGGAGTTATCATCACTGCCTTATTTGATTTAAGGTCCACTCCACAGGAGGAAATGGGTGCCAAGTACTTTAAACATGGCCAAGAGCACATGGTTGAAGAACTCACAGTCCAAAGAGGTGGATCAACTTCTATCATTCTGCTAAATGCATCTAGTATTAAACTGCCCTTGAAATTCATATATTTATATCCTTAGATTAGCGCCACACTTAGACCCTATCAGAGAAGTTTCGCTGTGTAATGCATGGTGGTTAACCCAGAAACTCACGACTGAGCAAAGTGCAGTGAACAAGTGCCAATGGAGAGCTCAGACACAAATAGGACATCCATCCACAATGCCCTCCCATCATTCAGGGGCCATTGCAGAAGAGGGGGTGGAAAGATTATAAAAGCAGGGACTTAGGGAATATTTAAGGAAAGCAGCAATAAAATGACTCGTAACCACATTCTGCTGTACTCATAGATCAGTGCCTTGCTCAGTTATCGTCAGAGAAGCTTCCTCCTGCAGTATATGGGAACAAATGCAGAGACCCACAGCTGGACAATGTGCACAGAATGATAGACTTTAAAACAGTCCATCCTAAATGGATGTCCCCATCAAATCCCTCCCCTCAGGGATCAGAGAACTCTGTGGATGAGGAGGTGGTAAGATTGTAAGAGCCAGAGGGATCAATGACACCAAGGAAACTGTGTCTTCCAGATACAAACAAGACTGACCCACATAGGAACATTGGTGGCATCACACACAGGGCCTGCACAGGTCTGAGTCAGATGCAGTCCCAGAACTGAGAGGGGAAATGGACACAAGCTCCCATTCCTAACCATGAAGCTATCATTAATTGCAGTCACTTACAAAGGAAAAATTAGTTTTCTCCCATAGAGGCTCACTAGGTATACAAACCACATGAAAGGGCAAGGCATAGATGGCCAATACAAAACAAACTCAATGGTCCTGAGTTTAAATGGAGTTGTTTCACCTCACAATCTTTGTACAGTCCTCCCCGCCCTCATCTGTATGTGTTCCTTGTCCTTTTTCTCTGGCCCTTTTTTTTCTGTTTGTTTGAATATTTATGCTGTGATTTATTTGTTTTTACTTAGTCTTATTTGATCTTATTATCATTATCATTATTTTGGATGCCTGTTTGTATTCTTTTTTTTTTTTTAAGATTTATTTACTATGTATACAGTGTTCTGTCTACAGGCCAGAAGAGGGTGTCAAATCTCATTACAGATGGCTGTGAGTCACCATGTGGTTGCTGGGAATTGAACTCAGGACGTCTGCAAGAACAGCCAGTGCTCTTAACCTCTGAGCCATCTCTCAGCCTCGCCTGTTTGTATTCTAACAGGAGAGAACGTGTATGGATTTGGGTGGATGGGGAAGTAGAGAGGGTACGGGAAGAATTGGGGGAGAGGGAGCAGTAATGAGGATACATTGTATGGCAAAAAGTCTATCCTCAATAAAATATAAATAAATATATTTTTAAAAAGAAAGAAAAGAAAGACAGGCTAGAGAGATGGGTCAATGGTTAAGTGCACTGGCTGCTCTTCTGGAGGACCCAAATTCAATCCCAACTTCCAACACAGACATGGTGGCTCACAACTCTTTCTAACTTCAGTTCCAGGGCATCACACTTTCTCTTTTGCCTTCCAAGTGCACTCCACACATGTGATGGACAGACACATAAAAAGATAAAACACTCACACAAAAAAGTTTAAAAAATGTAGAAAAATAGAAAATAAGAAGAAAAGAAAGAGGAGACTAAATTAAGAGAGGGAGGAGAGGTTGGGATGGTCTAGAAGGAGGTGGGGGAGGATATAAGAGTGAATATGGTCAAAATATTTTGTATGAAATTCTCAAAGAATTAATAAAAGTATTATGTCTTCAAAGAAGAATATAAATAATTTCAAAACTTGATCCTAATAATTACATCTTTTCTTGTATCATAGAATCTGCTATAACATACAATAGGCAATTTTGAAAATAAGAGTCACAGTGTTTTCCTAGAAACAAATTCCATAAAACTGCAAGACTAGTCTTTTCTTTACTTATATTCTCTTTGATGTTATAAACCTCAATCCCTGATGAATTCTGTATCCTAAGAGCTGAAGGCATGCTTCAATCCAGTAGTGAGAGTTTGGGAATGTATTTGCTGGGACTTCCTTTTGTTTTTCTTTAAACCGTATTTAAACTTGCCTCTTTACATTATGGAGAACTCTAGGATTTTGCAGGACAAGTAAATAAACAGCAGCATCTTGCTAGTTGTTTTGTAAGCCCAGAAGGATAATGCAACAATAAAGAATTGAAAGCAGGTTGACCAATTTAGATTATGAATTGTAGGATAAATTTTTTTCCTTAATGCAATTCCTAATATGTTTAGAGTAAACATCAATTAATTTGATTGAGTGAAAAGCTGGAAAGAAATAGCATGGATAAGCCATAGAAACTCGGAAGGCTCTGTTTCCTGCTCTGTAGAAGTATTTTAGAATATTTGCATGTTCTCTTTTGGAGCATTGAAGAATTTGAAGATACAGTGAGCTCATCTAAAATATTTAACCATGCCTCTGTCTTAGTTATGTCCATTGCTGTGATAAAATACTCTGAAAAAAAGAAATTCAAGAGAGAAAAGCTTAATTTTTGGCTTGTAGTTTGAGGCATTTTTCCACCATGGTTTTGAAGTCAGGGAAGAGGAAGATGGGTTGCTTGTGCTCAGCATACTTTCTCCATTTTATACACTCCAGAATCCTAGCCCAGAGAATGGTGTTACCACAGTGGTTAGGTCTTCCCATTTCAATTACCCTAATCAAGATAATTCCTCACAGGCCTAGAGGGGTGCCTGGACACCTGTCTTCCAAGGTTCTAGATCTCATTCAGTTGACAACTGAGATGTGGAACTGCAAGTCATGTCAGTAAATACTTGCTCACTGCTTATTTAATGCATATAGATTTCTAACTACATGATGAAAATATAATTTCAATGGTGAGCTCAGCAATGTTGTTTGAACTTAACTTGTAAGTTACTACTGAAAATCACAATCAAAAGTAAATTAATTATCCAAAAAGGTACTCATCATTTAGCCTCAATATTTTTCTCTTAAGCACTACATTTTATGTTGCAACAGAATCTTGCATGGTTTTAAACACAGTTATGGAATCACTAAAATTGATATTATGAAAACCCTGCTGTACAGACCAAACAATATTTAGCTTCTTCATAAATACAGTGTGTTGTGGAATATTAGTTGAAGATGTGTTATATTTGTTTATGTTGTGGAATATTTGTTTAATGACGCAAAGATGTGTTGCATTCTTTTATGTTGCATTTGTTTAACTCTGTGAAGCTGTGTTACTTTGCCTGCCTGAAACACCTGATTGTTTTGATAAAGATCTGAATAGTCAATAGCTAGGCATGGGGGTGTTATAGGAGGGGCTTGCAGGCAGAGAGAATAAATAGAAGGAGAAGAACATAAGAGAGGAGCAAAGGAGAAATGAAAAAAGGAGGAAAGGAGGATCCTAGGGTCCAGCCACTCAGCAACAGAGCCAGTCACGGAGTAAAAAGGAAAGAAAAGATATATAAAAGAAAAAGGTAAAATCCCAGAGGCAGAAGGTAGATAGGATAATGTAAGTTAAGAAAAGCTGACTAGAAATAAGCCAAGCTGAAGCTAGTTATTTGTAAGTAACAATACACTTCCATGTATTTATTTGGGACCTGGGTGGTGGGGCCCCCAAAGAGCAAAAGAGTAAGAACAAAAAACAAACAACAATAGTGTCTGGTGCATTCTACATTTTCATCGAGGGGTGCCTACTTCAGAGCACAGCTTTTATGTGTGAACACACCCACCCAAGATACCTTTGTCTTCATCATCCTATCCTTGTCATTGTCCTCTGGCAGTAGCACAAAACCTGAAAACATTTCATAAGAAGAATGACCAGCCTCTTTTGTAGAGTCTGTGCTGACAAAATCTTTCCTGATACCATTGGACCTCTTGAGCAGGTCATCTTGGCACCAGTAGACCTTGTGAGCAGGTCATCCTGGTACCAGTGTACCTCATCAGCAGGTAATCTTGGCACCAGTGTGCTTCCCGAGCAGATCATGATACACATTTTGCAGAATCACAGATGCTGCCTCTCTCTTCCAGACAGCCTTCTTGCTCTGCGAGCACTGAGCTGATCAGGATATAAGTGAAGCTTGGTCAATTCAAACCAAATGAAAGAGAACAGAAGGGTCATTTGATAAAGGGTTGTCAAAACAAGGGCCTGGTATATGAAAATGAATCATCTTGCATTACTAAATGGAGACAATTAAATGAAAAGGAAAGTTCTTAAAATGAAAACAAATTGTATTCCTTATTACCCAGCATCATCCAATACGTCTCTCTATATCCTCACACCTGCTTTGACATTTCAATAGACGAAGGCAGAAACAAAGAGAATGTGGCATATGAAGAGGGGAAAAAACATTTTTTTTTCTGAGCTGAGTCTATATTTTTAGTATATTATTTCTAAAGCTAGAGTTTGGGGTCTGGAGAGATGGCTCAATGGTTAAGAGCACTGACTGCTCTTCCAGAGGTCCAGGGTTCAAACCTACACCTACATGGTGGCTCACAACCATCTCTAATACCCTGTCTTCAGGCCTCCCAGGGCACTGCATTCAGGCAGTGCAGACATACATGCAGGTAAAACATCCATCCATAAAAATAAATTAAAAATTTTAAATAAATAATTAAAAGTGGGATTTATGTTTCTTGTTCCTTTACAGTAATCACAGAAGTTGTCACTTTATGTCTCAAAAGCATGTGGCAATGGGTGGTGGTGGTGTACGCCTTTAATCCCAGCACTCGGGAGACAGAGGCAGGTGAATCTCTGTGAGTTCAAGGCCAGCCGGGT